CTCCGCAAAGGATGCATCCCAGTTAGAGGCTGACTCAGAGAGTCAGCTTTGTAGACTCAAATTCACATTCATAACAAAGTAAATTTTTACTTAAATACCCTTTTTTATAGGAGCCATGAATCTTTTAAGAGGTAGGAGTAAAGTCTTACCATGTCTTTTCCCATTTCAGGTCTCAGAACATCATACAACGTCTACACATCAGGACAATGAATGTGTCCAGCAACTGCAGTGTCACAAATCTAGAACTGTATCACCATGTTCGTCTCATTGAATTTGCTCTGTATAACATAATTTTCTTTTTTGGAGCACTATTTAATGTCCTTGCTCTCTGGGTGTTCTTCTGTAAGATAAAGAAGTGGACAGAAACCAGGGTGTATGTAATCAATTTAGTCTTTGCAGACTTCTTTGTCATCTGCACTTTGCCTTCCATGGCTTATTTACTCTGGAATAAGTCAACTCGAGATGAACTCTGTCAGTTTATAGAGGCAATGTATTTTATCAACATGGTAGTGAGCATCTACATAATTTCATTTATCTCCATTGATCGATACATTGCCATAAAGCACCCCTTGAAAGCCAGGACCTTCAGGTCTCCTTTAAAGGCTGCCCTTCTCTGTGGGCTTCTGTGGGTCTCCGTGATAATTGCTGCCATCTTACAGCTTTGGCAGAGACACGCTGCTCTCTGCTTTCAGAAGGATACCACTGTGCCCGCTACTCTGAGCCTATTTTCCATTTTCTTCATTTTTACTGTTCCATTAGCAATCTTGATTTTTTGCTCCACAGAAGTAATTAGGAACCTTAAGAGGCAGCTGAACACAAATTCACCAGAGAAGAAATTAATTCAGAAAGCTGTTCACATTATTTATGCAAATCTGATTGTATTTATAATATGCTTTCTGCCAGCCTACCTTGGGTTACTTGCTAGGTTCATAATGGAGAGCATCGGAGCTACCTGTTTCCTGCTCCAGGTTATGAAGAACTTCTCCACTGTGACGAGGTGTATTGCCACGTCCAACTGCTGCCTGGATAGCATCTGCTACTACTTTGTGACCAAGGAATTCCGTGAAGCCCTTCAACTGCCCAAATCCAGAACTGAAAAAACAGATCAAACCCACTCCTTGCAGACACACACTTGCTAAAGGAAGGTGGGGGGCAGGGGGGATGAAAAACACCAAACCCAAAAAACCCCACAACTCTGTAACATCAAGAGAAGAAAGAGCTTCAACATTATTGGGCTAACTACTGTGCTTTCTCTCTAGGACGATCTTTGCTAGGTTTAGCGTTACTGAGTTAATTGTGATTTATACTGTATGTTTCTATTAAACAAATAATTTATTTCACAGAGATATGTAAAAGCGTGTATGTAATTGCTGGTCAGTAACACATCTCCATTCCACCCTCCAGTGCCTGCTTGTTACTCTTACAGGAAGAGAGGTGACCCATGTATGTTTCTCTGTTAATTTTGCAACTAAAGTCCATCAATCCTTATTGCCAACACGTACAAAAGAATACATTATGTTTTACCTCATTATGTATTTCAGGGGTTTTGTATTATTAAAATAATACCATTTCTTTTTATCCTATTCTTTTGGTGGGCTGAGGGAGTTCAGGTGGTACCAGGATACTACTACGTAGATGGTCCTAGACTCTACCACTGACCTTCCCCTTCAAGTCAATGGGTCAGACAGATCCAAAGGAACATTTTTAGGTTGAAAGCAAGATTTGTCCAGTGCCATAAAGCACAAAGTCCAAGAGATTTCAGAGCTGAATCCTCCTGCCACCCTGCTGAGCCCTGGCACAGACACACCTCCTAAGAGCAGCCATCCCCACCGGACTGATGCTCCCACTCATGGGAAGTCCTTTTAAGTCTGTCTAAACCTTTGCCACCCGTGCACTGATACTCCCTGGGTTTATCTTGTGGCACCAGGCTGGCCCCCAGGTTCACTCTCCTGGACACAGCTCAGGGTCAGAGTATTGCCCCCCAGCTGAACCCCACATATGGACACAGCTGGGTCCGGGTTTCCACAGCCTGCCTACACTGACACCTCTAACGTTTCATTTGTCCATGAATCAGAAGCCTAGAAAACTCAGGGGAGATGGGGAGTGGGTTGATGCCCTACATCTTATTCAAATGCTCCCTGGGACTGTGCTTTTTGCTTTTTAAATACTGAAAAGTCTCCAAAATGGCCTCTGAACTTTGCCCCGGCAATGCGACCTGCATGTTCCAGGAGACAGTGTGGAAGAGTCTTCCCTGCCCACTTACACAGTTTCCCCTGTGACTTACATCTGTCTTCAGGGAGACCATGGGTGCTGCTCAATCTGCTGTTGTCACCTTTGCGACTGGGAGCTCAGGAGACATGAATTAATGGGACATCCTGAGAGAGTCAGAGGCTGGCTCCCATCAGCCAGCTCACATGGATGGGGCTGCAACTTCTGCAGCCAGCAGACAGCAAAAGCCATCAAAATGACTACAAAATAATATTGAGGTATGTTCTTAAACATGTTTCTAGAGGTCCTGATGCCTATGGCATAATCACTGCCACACCAGTATCTCTCACCCATGCCCGGTGGCAGTGACTGTCATTACCAGCTTAGGATTTCCAGTGACGCTGATGAGCAGGGTCAGACACCTGCCTGCTTCACAGAGGACGAGCAGGCCCATAGCATCTAGCACCTTTCTTGTAGAGACAGTGAAGAGAAGCATGCTGGGTCCCCTCACCCTGAGCTCACTGTCTCAGGGTGCATGAGCACTGATGTGCCCCCTCGGAAAAAAACCCATCCCTGCACTGCTGCCTGCCCGGGGCGTGCTCTGCAACCGCACCGGAGGCTGCATGGGCTGCTGTGTGCCCTCGGGGACCTTGCACTGCCAGAAGGGCAATTTTCAACCATTATGGGGTTTATTTCAGAAATTATTTGTCTTCCCACAACTGAATATATTAAATTTTAATTGCTAGTTTGTGTGAGGTGAGTGGGGGAAGCACAGACTGGCTGGAAAAAAATGCTTGAAGCATTGAGCTGATGTGAGAACAACAGAGGGCACCAGAGACTCGACCTTCCCAAAAACTAGGTGATAAATGAAGCACTTTTGAGGAACAAGAGTTCATTACTGTGTTTCAGCGCTCCTGAGCTGTCAACAGCAGGCTGCCGGACAGCTTGTGCCCCACACAGAGCAGCACCCCATAGCAGCACCCACGGCCCTGGCAGATCTCCTCCCCTACAAGGACATCTGCAGCTACACTGCAACTTTTCTGGGGACTAAACTCACCTGACGGCCCCACAAGAAGCAGGTAATGTCTTTTAATTCTTCCCACACCAGTGAGTGGCTGTGTGCTCTGCTCTGCACTTTAGGGTGTGCTTTCTCACCTCTTAACTGAAACATAGCGAGGGCTGCCTGCTTCTTAACATGCGGGTCAATCCGCAGCTCTACACATCTACAGATGCCTCAGTTTCCTTCTGCTTTCACAGCTGTTATACCTCACTGTTTTGCAGTCACATGTGTCATTCAGGGGGGTCTTCATCCCTTGCTGTGGTTTCACACCAGTGCTTCTTACCATGCCTCTTCCATGAGTGTGGAGACACCCAGGTCCAGGCACACTGCAGCATGGGACCCTGGAAACCACCACTGGCTCTGGGCTTACATGGGGGATTTGATGGGGCCGGCATGCCCTGTCCAGCCTGGAGGGCTCAGCTGCTCCTCAGGGCATGCAGAGAGTGGCTTCTCACTGCAGGATGACCACAGCAGGCTGGCAGGGAAGGGCTGCAGGGTAGGAGGTACCACAGTGCAGCCAAGGACCTGTGAAGCTGAAAGCCCAAGAGAGCCAGGACACCAGCTGTGTGTTCGCGCCTCCATAAATTCCATCCCAAAAATGACTGTATCCCTGTGGTTCAGTGTGGTTCTGGTGCTAGGGCAGGTGCTGCACTTTCCTCTGTGGTTGCCAGATCTGTCTCCCAGTCCTGGACACTAAAACCAGTTCACTTAGTTTATGCAATTGGACATTTTCACTACAGTGTAATGTTGATGCTTAGAAGCTGCTGACTTATAAGGCAATGTATTTATAAGAGATTCTAGGAATCTGGGCATTTTCCTTTTCTGCCTCACTGTAAACTCTTTATGAGCTGCAGACTGTCTGATTCATCCTCCACAGCCTCTTTGCTGGTAGCAGATGCCCTGAAATATTTAAAGGAATACCAGGAGATAGTCTAAGTTCTTGGATTCGTGTTTTCTGCTCTAGCAACATTTTGGCTTCCTATCTTTGAAGGCTGAGATCAGACACAGGTACTCACTTTCCTTTCTCTCTCTGGAGACCTGCTACCTGCTAGGGCTGGTGGTACCCCTGCTGAGCTATTCCTTCCCAGCATCCTCAGTGAGAGGAGTGGGTTTGTGCTTGGGGAAAACCTGCCCACATCAGGCACCTACCCACCAGCCTGCAGCAGCACTCCCACAGCCCCCAGGAGCAAAGCCACTGGAGCTACTTTACAGCTGGAAGGGCTCAAGTCCTGTGGAGGTTCACAGGCCTGGCAAGACCCAAAGGAAACCCATGGGGTGACTTCAGCAGCAAAGCATGGGGGCAAATGGGGAATGCTACCCTGCTCTGCTTCAGGCTGCCCTAAAGCCAGTAGTTCTCTGATAACCAGAGCAGCAGCAAAGCAACCACAAAAATTATCATTCTACTTTGCAGACCCTTTGCTATTGCCCAACTACAAACCAGGCCTGAATGGAGGGCAAGACAGGCTTAACCCTGTAATAGCTGTAAGAGAGGGTTGCCTCTGTGTTTTTATGTTAGCTGGTGGTGAGTGGCAGTGTTACCTTGATGTTTGAGGGACAGATGGTAGTGACGGGCCACCCGAGCCCCTCCAGGGGCTGCCTACATATGCGGTGCAGGGGCGCAAGGAGCTGCAGAGCCAGGAGAGCAGTGGCACTGCAGCAGGATCCAGCCCAGAGGACCTGTCCCTGAACTCGGTCTCATGCCTGCACCCTTTTCTTGCAGAGACAGCCCGACATGGCAAACTGTACCAAAGATGACAGCGTGCTGCAGAATAGCATTGTGATATTTCAACTGATCGTCTACATCCCAGTGTTCTGTTTGGGGATCCCACTGAACACAATTGCCTTCTGGGTCTTCTGCTGCAAAATCAAGAGGTGGACCGAGACCAGGGTGTACATGATCAACCTCATGGTCGCAGACAGTTTCCTGCTCTTCGCCCTGCCATTCCTGATATATTTTACCAAGTATGACCATCCCACAGACAAGCTGTGTTTCACCATACGGAACATCTATATTACAAACATGCCTATGAGCATCCTTATCATCACCCTGATTGCAATTGATCGATACATTGCAATCAAGTTCCCTCTAAAAGCAAAGATCCTTCGATCCCCACTGAAATCAGCTTCTATTTGTGGGTTTCTATGGATAATGGTGATGATTTATTCCTACTTGCGTCTAAAATTTCATGACAGAAAAGAACAATTCTGCTTTCAGAAACAATCCATTCAACCTAGTTACTTATTGTTATTCTCCATTATCTTTGGGTATTTTATTCCCTTAGGGATTGTGATTTTTTGCTCAGTACAAGTTATCAAATGTCTCAAAAAGAAGATGGCCACAAACCCTCATGAGACAAAGTTAATGGAGAAAGCAGTCCACATTGTTTCCGTGAATTTGTGTGTGTTCACCGTATGTTTTTCACCTTTTCACATCACACTGCTCTTGCGGTTTGCAGTGGATGTTGCTGGAGCTTGTCCTCTGGTCTCAGCAGTTAGAGCCTCCATTCAAATCTGTGCATGTTTAGCAAATTGTAACTGCTGTTTGGATGCATTTTGCTATTACTTTGCAGCCAAGGAATTTCCAGAATTTCCTTCTCTGCTCCCCACTTGTATATCAATGAGATCCAAGATGCACCAAAGCCAAGAGTCACAGCCACCCACACATCAAGTTGTGACACAGACAGGGTCTAGTGCACTATAGGTATTAAGAGCCACAGTGCTGCTGAAGTTTCAAGGCAAGGGGAAATGGGACCACTTACAGTATTTGAAATCGTTGTAGGTATAGGCATACCTGCAAAAAAGAGGCAATCCCCTCCAAGGGGTCTAATATTAACTTGAATTTTGTCCTTCTGCCCTCAATGACTTGACTCCAACTCTGATTGTTGTCTTGGATCCTTGTATCACAGCTTCAGGCATCTCCTGGACAAGAGGGAGAGCCACGTGGTATGAAAAATAGATTATAAGGCCATTGTTTCTGCCAATGCACTTGCATTGCAGCTTAACATAGGAAACTGAGCACCCTTACAGCAATACAGAAATCAGCCTCTAGGACTGTAATACATATGGGGACTTAAAAACAAGAAAAAGCCCCTGTGCTACAATGCCAAACCTGATACATCTGTGCTGCTCACATCAAAGAATTTGCCTGCAGAATGGTAGTTTCCTGCCAACCTATATAATTTCAAAGCTTGCAGCTATCACCAGGATGCAGCTATTGCTGCGCAGGGAGTAAACGCCAGGACTCACAGTGGCCTAAGACTATTGGCCCATTCCTGCTGTATAACACTTGTATTAGCTTATGGCAATGCCCTGGCATTTGTGAGACTAAAATCCCTGTGGCTATAAATACGCCATTACTGCATGGAAAAACTGAGCTATGTAAAGCATTGTGGACCACAGAACAGACCCTTTGCATCGTGCATATCAAGAATAAAGCTGAGAAGACCTGATCTCACCCAAGCGATGACCGTAACCTCAGGTAACAGGTTTGTTGCTGTACTTTAATGGGATCAAACTGTCAATGGGTGTCCTGTCTGATGAGAGGTGATCACATCTGCCCAAGTCGTCGCAGCCTCACGCTGCAGGAGTGTTGATGCCCAGAAAACAGCAGTGAGCAACATGGGGCAGATAGAGCCTTGATCCCTCCCTCACCATCCATGAACAATTTTCAGAGGAGGTTCGGTGACAGTGGGGTGTGTAAGGCGAGAGTGCGGTGTGTAAGGCCCTTCTGCAGAGATGTGGCAGACCCACGGCTGAGGGCTTCTCGGCATTGCCCTGTGTGATGAAGCACTGCTTTGGATTTGGGTTCTTTTTCAGCTGCTTGGACAGCACACAGTGGGGGTTCAACAGCTCTCCTGCACCTCATTTTGAGACATTTAACGCTTTCCATGCATTATACAGAGAGCCTTAATCTTTGCTAGCTGGATCCCACACCATGCATCAGTTTTAATGTCTGGCTTTCCAGGTAACAAATTCCTCTATAATGTCTGTGCTTGCTGACTGTGCACCATGTATCATTCCAGTCCACAGGGAAGAGACAACAGGACAACAAGGCAGCTCAAAACAGTTAAACCACAAAGGGAGGTTTTGGAGCACTGGAAGGAAGCCTGGGCTAAGAGGGGAGCAAGTGCCAAGGCGTAACTACTGCATAGTCATTCTACCTGCATGGAAATTTCATCTAACATTTTACCACATAGTCACTTCAATAACTTAAAGTCAGCGTGGAAAATATAGAGTTTTTGAAATGCATGTGATAGCTGTATCTCAGTTGGCTTCATGGTCCTTGGCTTTCAGTGTCTTCTGACTTGTAAACCCTTAAAAAATTCCTCCAGGGAATGCAAACCCCTATTCTGCTCATGTAGACCTACAGGAAACTAATTGTCTTAGTAACAACTTGCAAATAGCTTGTCTACAAGGGGGCTGTCACTTTCTAGTGTCTGCAGACCACTTGCTGAAACCAGTGTCTAGACATTGGCCAAACAACATAGGAATCAGCTATTCCCATCACAGAAAATTGTCCAGCCATCCAGACATTAGATCTACTTGCTTTGTGTCAATACTTTGGCAGAGGTCCCAGCATGATGGAAGCTGCAGCATAAAAATGGATGAAACTACTCGGGTCATTCAGCTGATCATTTATGTCCCCATTTTCTTCTTTGATGTGTTATTTAATGCTCTGGCATTACTGGTATTTCACTGCAAGCAGAGCAAAAGGGTCATCTGTGTATGTGACTAACTTAATCCCTGCATGCTGTTTGGCCCTCATTCTGCCTTTTAAAGTCTCTTTTCAAAGACAGAAAAAGAGACAAATAGTGCCTAATCTTAAAATGCATCTGTTCCTTAAGGAAATGCATGAGTGTAGTTACCCTTGTAGTTGTCAACAAATACACTGCAATTAACTGTCCTCAGAGAGCAAGAGGCTTAGGGTCCCCTGTTAGTCCAGTCTCCTTCGTGGTGTGCCAGGCATTACTTACATGTCCGGGTGTTCAGCAAGGAAGAAGACTTCTGTTTTCAGAAACAGCACAGAGGGCCTTCAAAAACACTATTGGCTCTGGGATCCCCTTCTGAGATTTTGCATCTCATTTGTTATAATGGAGGCCTGTTCCAACAGATTATTATGAAAATTTTTATTATCTTGAAAAAAGATGAAAGTTGATTCATATCAACCTGTTGTACTGCTGTTAATCCAAAAAGCAAACTTACTTTTCTGCAAACTCAGACATGTTCGTTCATGTTTTCTCCCTGGTAACATGGGGCATGTTGTCCAGTTTATAATGGGCTCAGGTTGTCTACTCTGAAATAGAAAACAATAATGCTTTTGTGCATGTGGCCTCATTTATAGGTTTCATAGTATAGCAAATACTAACTGCCGTTACAACACCACTCGCTACTGTTTTGTAATCAAAGAAGTTCAGAGCATTTTCTTCTTGCACAAGCCTATGGTTTTTAAACCAAGAAAGGACCACAGACAAGGCACTCTATTAAACTAAACAGCTGCTGTGGTTTTACCCCAGCCAGCAGCAGCCAAGCACCACACAGTCACTAGCTTACTCCCTGTTGGTGCCAAAACCAGTACAACAGGTTTTGGCACTTTAGGGCACTAAAGAGTTTATAGTTGGCATTCCTATACATAGCCAAGCTTACTGCATATGGAGCTTTATGAAGTGAATGTTGTCTTCCTGTAGGAAGCAAACTGAGGTCTCCTACCATTCATGTTCTAAATTTTTAAAATTGTGTTCCTTTTTCTTAAAATGGAAGTTTGTTGACTTCACAATATCCCTGTCATCATTTAGTAATATTTTTTGTTGTTTGTACTGAACGTTATGAAAACAAAAAAAAAGGAAACATTCTTTTGCAAATGAAAATAAATCTATCTCATAGTAATATATCTACAAATAAATATTCATTTATTACCATTATACACCAGAGTCCTTCATTATTAACACTAAACCTATACTGGAGATTGTGAGAGGAGACTTAGTTACCATGATATAAGATCTGCCTTACAATAGAGTATTTATAGTGCAACCCAAAGATGAGCGAGGAACTTTCTGAAGTAGTATGTACTACCTGGACAAAAATTATCATCTGGTTTACACATCAAGTTATAATGATGTTTATGATGAATTTCTGACACCTTTCTTCAGTTTGAGCAAAACCTCGCCTCTATGAGTGCTCCCAGTAAACGGAACAGATGATTTATCAGCACCTGGGCCACAACAAACTACCAGCCATCATACAGCTCTGGAATAGCAATCCATGAGGACAGTGGCATGGTTATCCACAAATCTTCCCCATTTCCTAGCACAAGAGTCTAACTAATGATAGTAGGGATCAGCAGCCACAGTCTGTCAGCAGCTCCAACTAGCAGGGCTGGGCCACTGCATTCAGCTAACATTTCAGCAAGATATAATCTCTCTATCCCTTAAAAGATGTTTAGAATGGCTTAAACTTTAAATGAGCAAATTGATGCTGCAGTCAAAATTTAGGCTTGATGGGAAAAAAAAAAAAAAAAAAGGCAAGGAAAAGCCTACAAAATAATCCAGAAACTTTCTTATAAGTGAATAGCCAGCAGATTTAGCATTTTTGGCCCTTCTAAGCAAGGAGGACAGGGGCTGGCACAAGACAGTATTTTGCTGTTTAGTGGCATTTGGGCAGGCCTGAAATCTGAGTTCTCACCAGAGGTCTGGGCTTCAGCAGCACTCCTCTCCCAGGAGATGAAGAACGCATATTGGGGAGATCTGCATTTTAGAGAGCCGGGTGCTGCTTTCAGGTTTTGGAGGTACTTCTGTGTTTTTGGTTTCTTAGTGCAGCACAGTTGTTTCAATCGTGAGCACTGCCCAGCAGACTCCAGGGAACATTACAGGCTCCAAAGCAGCAGCAGGCAGCTGGGGAGCACAGGCTTTGCTGTGCCCTCTCCAGTATGTTTGCACAGAGATACATGGCCAACCCCTTCAGCAGTGATGCTGCTGGGGTACAGAGAGGGCTATAGTACAGAGCGTTATCTGCCGTGGCTCAGCTCCTGTGTGGTGCTAATGAAGGGGAAAGGGGAAACAGGTTCAACAGACAGGGTTGGTCGCTGTGTGAAGTTGGTGCAGTTAGCCTAACACTGCCATTTCACAGGTTTTCCATGCTAAAAATAAGACTGACGTGTTCTGCTCCCAACCCTGTAGTTCTGCTTTGGTCAAGTTTTGCTGTTGCAACATCACATCTTCCCGTGAGAAAGCCAGGAAAAAAACCCACATGAGGCAGAGGCACTGCAGAACTCGAATATCCCAGGGTAGCATGGTGTCCCTGTGCCCCTTGTACATGTGGAGGGGTACCGGTACACCTTGCCAGACGCCCTGTCTCACTCTGATGTGCCAGCAGCTGTAGCCAGCAGGGCACAGCCTCTGAGAAGCAGAGGAGACCAAGATCTTCCCTGGCAGGAAAATGAGGCAGGACCCCATCAAACCTGAGCTGTCCTGTCCATTAGCAATCTGTACCAGGAGCACATGAGAAGTTCATGAGAAAGATTTCTTTGGCTGAGAAAAAGGACATCAGTCAGAGCTTACAAGGGAAGGAAAATTGATTGATTGTGCAGAACAGAAATAAGTTTTAGAGATCAACAAGTGTAAAGATCAAACGGTTTTAGCAAATTCTTCCCTTAGCAAAATCTATCTACAAATCACAAGAAAAGAAGTGAGATCACCCTGTACTGCT